TATCAAATAAATCTGCTCACCTGCAATTTATAATGGCGCATTGTAGTCACCTTCGTCGTGCACGAAAGTTCGTTCAATCTCAGCTGCTCAGCTGTTAGTCAGTTATTAGTTATGTCAGTTATTTGCTGTTGTATCGCCGATTTTCAAAATGCAAATGATCTGTTTACTTTATTTTCAAAGAATGGTTTGTTTTGTTATTGTTTGGTTGGTGTCTTATATGAAACTGCGACATTGCGCAATTTATTGGACAGACTTGTTTAAGATCACACAGCGTAATTTGGGTGGCATTTTATTTCGTATTTTTAAATCATCTTTTTATTTTTGACTATCTGTAAATTCAGTTTCCTGCTCTTAATTGTGAATGCATACTTGATGGTTTTAAATGCTCCTGAAATTAAGTGCTGCTTGACGAGCCTGTACAGTATTGTGTTCATGTATGTGACGTCACTGAAGGCCTAAGGTTGAAATGCACGGCCCGCCACTGCTAACACCTAATGGGAAAACGCCACAGTTAATAAATAAAAACCTTCTATGTGGTGGTGTTATAAAGCATTACGCCATGGACATTTGAACCAAAATGATGTAAACATGGCAAGAACAATATACCAATATTCACTGGCATATATTATTTATCCTCTGCAAAAAGTGACAGGCATTACTGCAGATGCTGTGAAAGGTTTCTTTGTTTGCATGACTGGATTAGACTGTCCCTGACTTTTTTTGGGGTTGCGGGGGGGCCAGGGGAGGGACGACGTCAAGGGAAGATTGTGCCATGCTTTAATCAAATGAGGGTGGGCCTTGAATTTGACACTTATGATGGAGAAACTATGAGAATGACATACTACGGGTAGGATTTAAGGTTGTTCTCTCAACTATTAACTTTATCATCGTCACTCCCTCACCATCTTGAGAGCCACATCATGATTTTTATACTAATCAACTGTCATGAGAAAAGCTCTTACTGGGTTTTCCACGTCCACTCAAGAACATGATCCTTCATGCTCAATCCGTTTCCTCACTCAAAACCACCTTTGTGTGATTCACCAGGATCTTTCTGCAAACATGGTGGCATGGTAAATATGAAAGTGGTCACTCCACCTTCTTATCAGCGCTTTATGGCTTTGAAAGGAGTAAGATGCAAGAAAGTGCAGAGCTTGTGCAAGCATTAGAATTGGAGAAGTGACCTATCAAGAGGTCGAGCTTCCGCAATGTGCTATCTACTGTATCTTCCCCACCTTAGTGAGGGATGCTTGTACTGGTCTCGAGCTTATCTATATTAGCTACAAGCACAATAGTAAATGTGTTGTAAAATGAGTTCCTTGTAATCTAATCACAACAGACGATTTTTGTTTTGATTAAGTCCAAATATTTAATTTCAAATAAGTCAAAACAGTTGCTGACCTCATTCGCAAGCACTTTCATCATATTTTAAAATTGTTCATTTGTTACATTGACTTTTAACAAAAAACATACATTTAGTTAAAAAAAACAAAAACAAAGTGTAAGACATATCACTTATTTGGCACAGTCATACTTTGTTCACATTTACTGCTCTCTACGGTGTATGTATAGCATCTACTCATGTGGAGTTCATCATACACATCTGCAAATGTGAGTATTTCATCCAGTTGCTGCTCATACTGCTGAAGTGCTTGTTGCTTTGAATATGTACATAGAAATTTTGAAGATATCTTCACATAAATCACGTGCTGTTGCAGTCAACTTTGGCACAGTAAAATCTGAATTTCTAACTAATAAAGGCATCTATGTACGCCCCTTTTGCATAATTCACCTCCACTTACCTAACAGTTGCACATTTCACCAACAGCATGTTACCCTGCCACCAAATAACCTGGCAGTGGACATATGAAGTGACATAATTCATATACTTGTTGAACAGTTTTCACTGATTTGCCTAAAATTGTTTTATTCAAATAGATTTATCATTTTTTATTCATTTCTAAAGAACTTATTTTACATATACATGAATATACATGATTAAATTAAACCAAATTTAAAACAATCATATTTTGAAAATGGTAAACTACTCTTTTTTTTTTCAGGATTTTTAGACAGTTTTTCCTAAAATGGGTTATTACAATGTGTTTTACTCAGCATATTAAATAACTGGTGATGAATCCATCCATCCATTTTCTGATCCGCTTATCCTCACAATGTCAGCTAGAGCCTTGGTGAAGTCATTTTTGTAAACTCTAAAAAAATCCATTTGGAAAACAAACAAAAAAATACATCTACGCTTAACATATTTGTGCTCTCTAAGTAACTGGTTAATTATAAAATGATAGAATATGAGAATTATTATGAACAATTTTACAATACTCAAAACAATGTTAATTTTTTTTAAAGGTTAAACGTTTGACCTGGCTCATCTGTCTGTTTTAAAAATCAAATGCGGTGGCCCTTGAGTACAAGCTTGCCCACTCATGCCTTGAAGTATGGAAAATGGTTGTTTTGACTCATTTTTAGACTATTTAAAGTTTATTTTATTGTATTCAAACTAGCTGTGAAACTAACCTCCCACTAAGCACACATCCAGGTTTAAATGAGGCTGACTAGATTTGAAATAGATTTTCCATACACGTACCGCCCTGATACTGTATTCCAACAGGTGATGTCATTCCTTCCTTGCAGATGATGCCCGGGCTTGTCAGTGCTGACGTTGCTGTGCAATTAATTACAGCCAAAAGTTCAAATGAGGTTTCAGACGTGACTGTCACTTGCCAGTGTTCTTGGTTGATCAGCAAGCCAACTGTTGCAGAAGAGAAGACTTGGGCAATAATAGAAGACCATTCTTTTCTCAAAAAGAGACATTTATTTCCAGCTTGTATAAAAATGTTACAATCTTATGAACCTCATCGGTGCTGTGATGGCGGTCATAATGGGTCTGCACAGTTCGACCTCCTGATTTGAATGATACAGTATCACATCGATTAACGCAGCGGGCAATGTTCCTTTTGCAAAGACACTTAGAAGTCCATTGAGCTGTGGGCCAGGTAGTCCTTCCTCCCGATGTTGGTGACCTGCTTGGTCTGCATCGCCTCCAACTTGGGACAGTCTGTAATACGATGGCCAAGACCACCGCAAAACGTACAGCCCCTCTCCCCTACAAAAAAAAAAAAGACCACAAGAATAATTAATGACGACGACGTAACATGGTCAAACAAATACAGACGGTGGGATTTTTCATGAATGACTCACCTCCAATATCTAGCATGGTTTCATCTCCTGTCTGGAGCACCTGGAGAACTGGAGGAACCTTTTGCTTGGCTTCAACGAGCAGGGCCTTCAAATCCATCAGCACCGACTCGTCTAGAGCGTAAGCAAATTTAGAACACGGCATACGCCCGCATTGAGAAAATGCATGGATCATTTTGAACTTGAAACTTTTTGTCAGAATGTGCAAACAAGGCAGTCTGCTGATAATTCTCTCGTTTCCAGCCAGAAGATACCCATTCAACAAATATAAAAAAATCCTTTTTCGTCAAATTTGGCCAGGGTATGGCTAACTGTCATCCAGTTACATGTGGATGACTATGCTGGAAATTTGATTTTTGGTGTCCACATTATGAGTCAAGTTTCTTACCACAGCCTTTATTGATGAACGTTGTGGCGATACCAGTCTGACCAGATCGCCCTGTTCTTCCAATTCTGTGGACTGAAAAAAAGAAACACATCTTCACAAAAAAGAGGCAAACAATTTATTTGAATGCTGATGAAGTCCAAACAGAAACAGGAAAAGGCAATCGAGAGTGAAATATGGTCTGATAGCGGAATGCTAAAAAGATGATATACATCCAAGCGATTTCAAAATTGGCAGTTTGGATTCCTTTCATGTCATGTATCAGCTGCTCTGTGCAAGAGACACGGCTGTCAGACTGGCTCTACTGTAATGGATAATGACCATGACTTTCTATACCATTTTCATGTTTATTGAATATTTTAAAAACCTCTTGGTTCCACTGTGGTTTCATCCGGAGGTTAAGTAATGAACTGTTACCAAACACTAACTGAAAGTATTTTGAGTTATCGCCCTTCAGTACAAGGAGGCCCCGGGAACACTGTTTTCATTTGATTGCATTGTATTTACAGCCTGGTGTGGAGAGGAAAATGGATGAAGATATGGTGCTGATTTATCTTTTGGAGACAAACACCGCTTCTCCTCTTATAAGACTTTCCACTACAGAGGAATTTGTCTCCATTCACCGAGACAGACATTTGTGAGGTCACATATTTATGTCAAAGCTGCTTTAAGAGCACCTTTCAAACCAAAATTATGAGGCATTAACCATTAAAGAAGTCAATGAACAAAATAAATCTATGGAGCAATTTATACACACCAACTACAAGAGTAAAGTGATGAATACATTAAAAAAAAAAAAAAAGTCTTAAGAGATTTAAAAGCAGACAGTGAGTTTGTCTGCTGAGATTTCCTGAAATGAAGTTCCAAAGCCAAGGAAAGCAAAAACTAAACCACAGACTCCTGTAGCTGGTGTGAAGCCAGCATTGTCATAAACACACACATAGACATTCTTGCCTCACCATAGTTTTCGATCTCCTCGGGCATGTCGTAGTTGACTACGTGCTGGATGGCTGGGAAATCCAGACCCTTTGAGGCCACATCTGTGGCGACAAGGACATCCTTCTTTCCTTCCTTAAATGCTTCAATGGCTTTTGTTCTTTCCTCCTGATCTGGAACCAATAAAAAGACTCAACATTACTTCGGAATCATCGATTCCCGAACTTGCCTATTTCTGAAAGTGTGTTACAAAGTCAATCTTCACTTCCTTACCCACTGTTACATAATTTACACAATAAGCAACCACAAAGAGTTTCTCTGGCCATGACCTGGCCAGCGAGGGGAGCAAAGATCCAGAGCCACTTTCAAGTGAGCCCCGGCAAGAAATGGGCTTTTTTCAATGTTCTACAATTTCCGATCCTTGATGAGCCCATGTCACAGACATGTTATTAAAACAAGTGCAAACTTTTAAATTGAGTGTGTGTGTGTGTGTGTGTGTGTGTGTGAGTGTGAGTGTGAGTGTGAGAGAGAGAGAGAGAGAGAGAGAGAGAGAGAGAGAGAGAGAGAGAGAATGATTGGACTAGTTTCAATGGTGCGCTCTATATGAAAATGATGAAGCAAAAGGGACATCTAGTGATCATAATGAGGTACTACATGTAACACAGACGGACTCTTGTACATTGGTGTGAAGTTACATGCAGTACACGATTGCATTAAACATAATAGCAAATGTACCTTTTCCTCCATGAATGGCCACTGCTTCCACACCTTTCAGCAGCAGATACTCATGGATTGCATCGACGTCAGCCTTTTTCTCAGCAAATATCAATACCTTTTGGGGGAAAAAAACAACAAAAAAAAATGCCTTTGAATTTTGCACCTATGTCAGAGTTTGATAAGGCAGGACTGGAAATTGTGGCCGTTATACTCGCAAATGATCCCGTTTTTTCAATATGTGCTCATAAAAATTTCATCCTGTCACACAGCGTGAGTGCATGTTTTAATGCTCCTACAGGTACATAAAGATAAGGCGCTCCAATTGAGATGACTACCCAGCAGCACATACGGTCATGCTGTAACGACCCAAAAAAGGGAGCGACCCAGTCTGTACTGGTGCCACCAACTGAAAAAGTTGGTTGCACAAGTCCTACCAATGCAGAAATTTGTGTAAAGGCTTATGAGCAAAAAGGTACTGACCGGAGGTGTTGTTTTCTGCAGACACTCAAGCAGATACACCATCTTCGCCTCCTCTTTGACATATTCCACTTCCTGTTCATACGCACAAAAGGAGTCAGAGTCACCCTTTATATCAGGAAGTTTTCGGCAAATGATTGCAGATAGTGGGCTGTTGAATCTACCTGGATGACATCCAAGCTGGCAGCACCCGCTCTGCCTACGTTAATGGTGATGGGTTTGACCAAAGCACTCTTGGCAAAATTTTGGATCTTCTTGGGCATGGTGGCACTGAAAAGCAGGGTTTGCCTTTGTCCCTACAGGAGAAAAAAATGGATTATTACAACACTTGTCCTCTATCACATACTTTTCTGCAAACTCATTTCCTCAACCTTTACCAGCACTTGTGAGTAAATTACAATACTGCCACTGTTAGATTTGTTATTCAAAAGGTGTCATGGTGCACAGACAACATTTAACTACGACTAAGTAGACAAGGACGAGCAAGTTATGTGGATCCCCATATTGCAAGCTGTCGACAAGTGACAGTATCTACTGTATACGCGCAGCGAGCACGCCTCAGCTTCTTATTGGAAGTGCACATCCACAGAACCTTTCTGTAGAATTAATTAATTGCTCCAGGCCATGTAGATCACAGATTATTTGTGCATTGATTGGATTAAATCATTTCCCGTTCATGAAGTGGAATTCACTGTGCAATGATGCTTTCACATTATGTTTGAGAATCCATGTTTCATTTCGCCTTGTTGGTGATGTCTGTATCGCCGTTCCATCTGTAGTTTCACTGTTCTACCACAAGGCTTTGTGTGTGCAGAAAATGGCCTCATTTTGGTCAGTTGACAGGCCGTACATAATAATAATAATAATAACAACAATAATACATTTTATGTATAAGCGCCTTTCACAACTGTAAATCCATCCATCCATCCTCAACGCCGCTTATCCTGAACAGGGTCGCGGGGAGATGCTGGAGCCTATTGCAGCTGACTTCGGACGAAGGTAGACTACACGCTGAACTGGTCGCCAGCCAGTCACAGGGCACATATAGACACAAACAACCATTCACACCCACATCATCACTGAATGGGAACCGATCCCACACTGCCTGCTCAACAAGTCAGGCGACCACTACACCATCAGTGACTATACCGTAAATGTATCGGTACATTTTATTGACTGAAAATCTGTATAGAAGTTCAGTTCTCAATCTCATATTAAATCACAATGTCAATATTGAGGGAAAAACAAAAATCACGATAAGATCATACTTCAAAACAGTTCCGTCAAATTCTTTACCTTAAAATATGAAAAAATAGTCCTGATGTCCTCTTCAAAGCCCATGTCAATCATCCTGTCAGCCTCATCCAGGGCCAGGTAGCGACAGATGTCCAGACTCACCATCTTCTTCTGTAACAAGTCCATGAGACGCCCGGGAGTGGCGACCATCATGTGCACACCACTGCAAGCAGAAGACATCACTCAGTTGGTCATGTCATAGGTAGTCACTCCAGGACGCGACTGCACTCCATCTCAATCCATTAGGGCAGTGATCCTTAAAGTGCAGTCCACGGGTAGTAAAACAAAAAACCCCACTGAATTAATCACATCCAAAAATCCATTCATTTAAAACACATATATTACTTCAAAAATGTTCGATAAATTGCATTACAAATAAAGGCCTCCAATATTTGAAGATGAGTGAAAAAAAAATAAATGCAAAAGTTAGGTAGTTCGAACTTGTGGGTTCTAAAAAACAACAACAAAAAAAAAAAACAACAAAAAAAAGAGCTGTGGCTGATTCTGTATTCTAACTTTGACCTTAACTTACTGTTTCACAACTTCCATTTGCTCCTTGACGGACATGCCGCCAATGCAGAGGGCCGTCCGCATCTGAGGGGCTCCCTCCTCCTCCAGCAGTTTACAGTAATATTCGATGATGCCGTGCGTCTGTCGAGCGAGCTCTCGCTGTTACAAAGTCAAATCACAGACTGTTGAGTTGTCGTTAAACAACAACGTGCTGATAGCCTCTATCCTTACAGGTAATAAGCTTCACGTATCCTGTGCATAGTGAGGGGGGTTGTAGATAATATTATTGAGAAAAGTCGAAGAAAAAATAGGCGATGACTTACTGAAGGACAGATGATGAGTCCATATGGTCCCTCTCTTTTAAAGAAGGGCAGCCGCTTCTCCTGCTCCAGGGCGAACATGATGATGGGCAAAGTGAAGACTAAGGTTTTGCCCGAGCCGGTGAAGGCGATCCCGATCATATCGCGACCTGACAGACTACAGGTAGAGGTTAAAATCTATGAATATTTCATATCATGAATGGGGGGACCACGATTACCAATGTTATGGGTATTATCAAAAAGTGTCAGATATAACCTTAAAATATTAAAGCATCTATAGTTCCAACACATTTAAAATTGTTGACACCAGTCAGCAGATTATTTTTAATGGAAAAATGCATTAAACCCAAATTTTACATTCTTGTAGGCTAATTACATATTTAAAGCCGAACTCTCTAATTTTTGGTAAAATAAAATATCTAGCTCACATTGTGGAAGTATGCATAGTTCACTTACACTGTTGGGATTCCTTGAATTTGAATTGGCGTTGGATGTACAATTCCTTTCTTCTTCAAACCTTTAAGAATTGCTGCAAATAAAACGACAGCATTGTTTGCAGACAAAGGGATGACGTACGGTACACTGTGTGTGTGCGCGTGTGTGCTGGTTGAGAGGGGAAGGGGTACCCATGTAGTCCAACCTGGTGGAAGCTTCATCTCCCTGAAGCTTTTGATCGGAGGAGGGATGCCATCGCCATCAACCAGGATATGAAACTTCTTCCTGACGCGTTCATTTCTGGTCTCTGGCATATGGAGGACATACCGTGGAGCCTTCCAGCTAAAAGCAACCAACAGGTTATGTAATGTAGGCCAGAAATGTTATTTCATAACTAACTGTATGCTAAAATGATCCCACCTTGTTTTGATTGGATCATCATAAATTATACCCTTGGCCATTTCCTTCACAGACATCAAAGCTGACAGAAAAATGAAGACAGTTATCAACAGTAGTCAAGTGATGGGTGTGAGTTTTTCACAGTATAGTACAATATATATATATATATTACCTCTGCCCTCTGCGACACTTTCTAAAATTTTCTCTTCCTCTTTCAGTTGTTTCTCCTTGGCTGACTCTTTGCGTGCTGTTGATTTAAGAAAAAACAGGGTTAATGGGTATAAAGTAGGAAAAAAAAGTGTGTTTCACAAAATTCTTTAATCTCCTGAAATGGAAACCTTCTGCTTTTTCCTTGAGATGCTGATGCTGGTCAAGAAGGCTGACGTTGGAACGTGGACCAAGCCCTTCATCTTCATCCCTCTGTTCCTCCCCACTGTCTCTGTGCTCCTCATCCACTACTTTCCCACGCAATCGCAACATCTTCTGAACCTGTGAGGTGAGCAAAACATGCGTTTTGACTTGACTTAGAGTACAAATTTTCATTTTAACTGCAATGACGAATATCAAACTAATTCAATGCCAACTGAAGAGGAGATAACATACCATTTGTTGCTTTCGGATTTTGACGGGAATGTAAGGAACATAATCTTCATCCCCTGAATCCTCAATCCCGGAACCTTCATCTTCCCCATGAGTTCGCTAGGAAAAGGTGTTTTAGTGAAACGCAAGTGTTTAGTTTTAGCAAATGATTTAACATGACACTTCATCTTGAGACCCAGTATACAAACTAATTGGTGCAAAGTGCTTGGGTGCTTCCCTGATAAACAAATATAATGTAAACTGGATTATCCTTTGAGGGATTAGAATCAGTGCGGAGTAATGCAATTTAAAGGAAGAAATAAAACATCGTAGTTAAAATAAAACAACATCGTAGTTACATTTTAAGCGTTGTTTTCGACATTGGTCGTTACATTCAATCACATTCAACGAATACAGTTGATGCGGAAGTGCCCCATTGGCGTCAAATATATTTAATGTTCATCCCGAAGTACAGCAATGGTTTGTTTAGCTAGCGAGTCAGCTAGCCGTCAATGCTCGTGTTGGCTGTTCCTCGCTGGAACAGTGACTTTTATTTGGCGCTTACCTTTTTAAATCGATTATCGTCTTCCATCTTATTCAAAACGATGTGCTTACTTGGGGAATGTGGCACTAACTGAGCAAATTATCCACACAAGGTTATTATACTGATAAGTATCACAAACTCACTATCATCGGGAAATAAGTACGGAAAGCTAAAAGGTTCACATCGCTCTGACGTCAACACTTCCTGGTGGATTTGCCCGATAGCATAGAAAAACAAACGCCACACTTAATGTGTTTGTCAAAACTGCATCATTTTAATCTTCCGGAACGAAAGATTGTTCACAGTATCAAAAGTGAGCTTCTTTTTAAATCAAGTAAAACCAGCCAACATACACTTGGCTATTATTGGTATCGTATAAATCTACATTCAAAACATTAAGATCCGCTTTCTCTAATTAAATCAAACCGGGAGAGCATCAGATGTGTCTGTATGGAAACAAAATGACAGACCAAGGATTGACTATGTATCGCAAGGATAACCATCAGCTAAAACTTGGCTGTTGATGCAGCTGTGAAGATTTTCTTTAAAATATCATCAAGCCTTGGAACTCCACTGGGAAACAGAAAAGAGCTGTATGGTTGAAAACGTTTCACTCACACACGACGAAAGACATGCCAAAGCCTGACATGGGCCTAAAATAACCACGTAATATGTACAAGAATGGAAATGAATTTTGAGTGTGGATTCAAAAGTGAAAATGAACATTCCCCCTGGGATGAAAGGGCTGATGTTTGGATTCTAGAACTATGTTGGCTAACACTATAAACGAGAATGAACGCCTAGGAAGGAGTGATGTTGAGGCAATACGTACATTTTGAGTGAGCATTTTTCTCAAACATATCATGCATGGGCAGGTCATCGGTAGCCATCGTGTGTTGGGGTGCACTTTACGAGACAAATATGACATAGTTAAGTGAAAGTGAGTGCTTTGAGTATATGCATGAGTTCTGTTTACCCTCATTTCATACTAATAAAACATTATAGGTTTCATTCACATGGTGCAACTTTTTTTGACGACTTTTTAGATTACCAAAATACTCTGACAAATATATTGCATTCTTCTTGTGAGTAAACATTGAAGACATTTGTCAAACATGCTGAATGTGACAACATCATGGGGGAGCACCATAATTAAGGTCCAGAAGTTTAACACCGTTCAAATGTCAGATTTCTGATAAAAACATTTATTTCATGTAAGGTAAATGTTTACATACTACATACGTCAGCACATGAATGCAGTGGACAAACACACTAGTTTTCCCATTTTGGACTTGTCACTTGGTGAACACTGCCATAACAGCAACAAAGGGTCGAGCTGGCCTTGTATTGATCTCTGGCTGACAAGCCAGCGGTTGAACGTCAGTCCTGTGAACGAGCTGTGAATAAGGTCCTTCTACTCAACAAGAAGAAAAGAGGGAATGAGAGAAGGCCTCAGGCCAAACACAGCTCTATGGAAAGAGTTTGTAGTGTGACGTTTTATCTCCTGGCTCTCGTCAGTTATTGAGCTGCATTGGAGGGAACTTTTTTGAGGCTGAAGTTGGACCAGTTCACCGCTACCTTCTGGCGGGTTTGTTTTGCTGAATCAAGACAGAACCTAGAAAGATGACAGGCATTTAGACAAGCGGAGGAGAGGCAGATGGAAATCAAGTGGACACCTGTAAATGACACTCAAATTTCAAACTCCAAGTAGAAAGAAACCTCCAAAGTCAAATGCTTCCTACAATTTGGAGTTCAACCAAGTTTTCTGGAAAAACTTGAATGTGGAACCAACCATGAGCATGGGTGGCATGCCTTTGATGTGAGTAAATCTTCTAAGACTTCTGTTTAAGCAGGGTACACACACAAAAATGTGAACATCTTCCCCTTCCGATCAAAGTCGCAAAGGCCCAATTATCAGATGTCTTGAATGGATTATCTTAACCGCGGTGTGAGATGTCTTGAGAGTGATTCATCGAACCCCTCCTTGCAAAAGGAGATGGGGTGACAAATCGTGAATCCTTTTAGTCTAGTAACAGCCATGGAATTCATCGATGCTCAGAATTGATGCGTGTAGCCCGCTTCAGTGAGCATTTTAAGGATTACAGTAAACCCCCTCAATCACAGGTTCCGGGTCCTGGTGTGTGTGTGTGTGTGTGTATAGTCCCCAGTTCGCCAAAGAAGAGGATTCGAGTGGAGTGCCGGTGTGGCTCCGACTCGTGCAGAAAATACCTGTTCTAATAAGGCCAAACAAAAAAGAGTGTGTTTCCGGTAACATGAAATTTCAGCATAGGGTCGGTAGGTCGGACAAAGTTTTTTTGTTTTTTTTTAATCTTTTTTTTCCCCATCAAAAATTTAAACAAAATAACCATAAAACATAAAACAAGAAGACATTGAACCTGCCGCTCCGCGGCTGGCGCCGCCGCCACCTATTTAGTTTTCTCCCCGCTCTGGACTTGGGGCGCGCCGCCGCCTCCGCCGTCCTCCTCCGCCCTCGGTTTTTACTCGGCCCGTGGTGTTCATCAAATAGTGCTCAACGTGAATATCGCGAGAGTTTGCACCGAGGTAAACCCTCTCCACAAAAATGTAGAGAGTTGTTTGAAAAAAATGCCGCCCGTAAATTTTTTTTTCGACGTAGAAATTCTCGGTCGGTCGGGTTACCGGAAATACACTACTTTTTTTTCTACGCCTAAGGTATATCTCCGAGTGCTATTTAAAGAGCTGTCACAACCATTAACAATGAAATAAAATGAAAACTTTCGTCGCAAAGTATAAACCTAACCTCTGTAAACTACAATTCACAATACTGAGATAACATAACGGTGGATGTTTTTTAAGAGGCTCTCATTACGGCATGCAGGGATCTTAGTGTTAAACACGCACTGATAATAGTGTCTTTGGCGAAAACTGAACTGATGTCACTAACAATGGCAACATAAGATGGCTGCCCTCTGGCTTCAGCCGCGAGAGGTCCATTGTTAGTCTATATCCATAAGTGCGTGATTTCAGTATAGCCCCGTTTTTGTTATTGAATGTCATCAGTTGTGATCCTACAGCTGTATGTTAATTTTATAATGTGTATCTTTTGGGCATGATTATTGATACATATTGTGAGAGGAAAAGTTAAATTTTGCGTTTCACTAAAACACGGCTTTGTTTACTCCAAACACATTGAGGGATCGGAACATTCTTGCACAGCATCCCAGGTTAAGATGTGTTCAAAGCCTAGAAATAAATTCTATTTTTTATTGCAGAATCATACCCTCAGACTGAAAATTGTAGACATGCTTTACAAGACAGAGAATCAAGTCCCCAAACCTCAACCCCATTAAAACCTGTGACAGGTCGCTGGATGATGGAGAGAGATTGTCCAAAAAGAGGAATGGTGTGAAACAATAAAGGAGAAGATTCGGTCTGTTTGGCTGGCAAAAGGAGGCTGCACCAAGTATTAACATCGATGGTGACAATAGTTATGGCACACATGATTTGATGGAAAAGAATCATTCCTTAATGGGGGATTTTTTTTCCTCACTGAATAAATGCACTTGAATTAAATGTTGGTTTGTCCTCTTCTTTTAATTTTTGTCCTAAACTATTAAGGAAAAAAATGAATTTCTCAGAAGCTAAAGAAAACATCTTAACCAGGGGTGCCAAGAATTACGGAGGCCATTGTATGTTACATGTGTTTACAGATACAGTGTTTGAATTATTTCAAAAGGGTATTTAAAACCATCAAAAATATCAAGTGTGTAAATGTGAAAAAAAAATACATAGAGACTACTTAAATAAGATATTTCTATACTGTGGAGATCAATTATTGCATGGGTGGTCTGGAACTGTACTTGTTAACAGTTCGACCCTAAAACACATGCTTTGAGTTGCAATTGATGGAACGAGATAAAGTTAAGTGACAGACTGATTTTCAGTCGACTTTGAAGGTTCCAATGTTTTGAGATTTGCCGTTGTGCTCTAATTACCTTTTAAAGTATTCTACTTCCCGATCGATTTCATCCATTGACGTAGGATCCACATCTTTCGGAAGAAAGACATCATCTGAAGATTAAATGAAAAGAATTAGAATTTAGAGTGTGAGGGCATGCGCACAAATATATCAATTATCAAGATTCTCCCGCACCAATAGCACTCGCAGATTTTTCGCCCTTGCTCTTGTTCTTCTTATTTTTCCCCTTGGACTGCGCCTGATGCTGCCCGTTTGCCGGAATGGCATGAAGAGCCTTGCTTTCAGTATCCTGCTCACGCTCTCGCCCCGCCCGTACGTCGCTGTCACCTTTAACCTTGTGTGCATTCGGGGGGGCAAGGTTTGCTCCATTGGCCGCTGCATTTCTGGATGATCTGCTGTCTTCGGCTTTCTTCATGCCGTTTTTCTGGCTGTCTGCTCCTTGCTGAAGCTGTTTGAACGCAGCTTTGGAGCCATTACAAATGATTTCGGCCACTCTTGACTCCGTGACCTTGGGATTGTGCTCGGAACACGGCTGCTCCTGTTTTTGCTGCTGCTGCTGCTGCTTTTTACTCTTCTTTGACTTTGTACCACCATTCCCAACTGTGCTGTTCTTAGGATCTGAGATGTCCTCTTTTGTTTTCACTGTAACTTGGGCCGGTACCTGTGGCAAATTGTCAGAAGTGCTTTTTTCCGGGGAGCGGACTTGAATGAGCTTGGAGAGACTTGGCGTAGTGTTCAAGCGCTGGATATCCTTGGAACCGGCCGTGATCCCAGTGGCTGTGGTGGCAGTGGCGGTGGTATTCGAGGACGCATTTGTGTCCTCCCATCCGTTGACCAGGTCCAGATGGTTCTTAAAGGTTCCCAGTGAAAGAGGGGCTAGGTCGAGGTCTATCTGCTGCATGTCAGAGGAGCCGTTCAGATGGGACAATAAATGGTTGCCCTCCAGAGTGGCCGCCTTTTTCGGGAAATCATTGACGTCCAGATTGAGATCATACATGCTAAACGAAGCTCGAATTGAGTCTTTGATGGTGTTTTTGATCTCTTCCAGCCGACTGGTGAGAAAACTGTTGACACGCTCGAGTTCCAGCTGGGGCCAATCCAATAAGCGTGATGTCTCGGCGGTGTCAGGCATGGGCTCGTCCATACACTCTGATGGATTAGAAACGGGTTCAATGCCTGCAGCGCCGACGTTGCCCTGCAGCGCTTTTTC